TAGATAGATAGATAGATAGATAGATAGATAGATAGATAGATAGATAGATAGATAGAAAGAATTCTTTATTGGCCAAGTGTGATTGGACACACAAGGAATTTATTTGGTGCAAATTCTTATGCATATATAGTATAGCCTTTAAGTGACACGTTTTTCTCCACTCTGTTTCATCATAAGTGCCAATAATTGCCAAGTTTTATAGCCAATGACTTTACTCTGCAGAAAGTTTTTGGATAATAAGGGGATAAAATATGAGACAAGCAGATTATAAAGACTGTAGTAAGAACTAAATAAGCAGGGGAAGATTTCCTGAAGTAAACTCTATATGACTTGGCTCTAAACTAGTCAACTCGGCAACTAAAGGGAGAAAGTCTTTAGAGAACACAGATATTACGAATTTTCTGAAAAAGTAGTAGGTGCAGTGCACTGTGTGATATGTACGACATGATGTAAGTTTGCTTGGCTGTTTGCAATTAATTGCATGCATTTTAATTAAATGAAAATACATATCAAAATCATATATATTCTGTGGGGTCCTTGCTGTTCTCTTAGGCCAATGGTTTTCTTGCAGATGTTTCATTACCCAACTAGGTGACATCATTACTGTAGTTTTAGAAGTGAATGGGAGGTAGTAGTAGTAGTAGTAGTAGTAAGAGGAGGAGGAGGAGGAGGGATATGAAGGCTGTGGGTACATTCTGAGATTGACTGGTTTCCTTGCAGACATTTCATGATCCACTTAGGGAACATCATCAGAGTAGAAGGGAATGGGGGTTTGTTTGCAGTTTATATACTAGTGATTTGCCCTGTCAGTGTTGGTGGGAGTGATGTTGATAATCCTTTGATTAGGCTGTTGTTTACTGTTAGCTTGCTTGTCTGCCTTAGTAGGTCTTTGATTAAAATATTATTTACATCTTGATTATTGGTGTAGTATCATTCTTGTTAATTTCTGCTTATCTGGGTGTGGATTGCTGGTGAGGAAGTGTTTTGGCTTGTTAGCTTCCTTTCTGCCAAGAAAACTCCCACCAACCCTGACATTGTTCACTGACAGTGACTATTTCACACTACAATTTGAAGAGTGTGTGTGTGTTTTTAAATTCCCATATGCAATTAAATCCCCCACCGTGGACTCGGATCCTCTGCAAAAATTTCTAACACATTTTGGTTTTCAAGCCAGTCCTTTAGCTCCATGTCTGTCAGATGTTCAGTGTTGAGGAAAATTACATTCTATAGCTGGTCAATGAACACAAAGCCTGTTTCTGTGAGAGTAAGTCAATATTTTCCCTTTATCGGAATTTCATTTGGTGACGTTTTCTTTCTCTGTGTTTTCCTTTAAACAGAGTGACAAGAAAGCTGAAATTCTGAATCCAATGGTCAATAGTGTGCTATCCGAGGTAAGTAAGGCCCATATCTACTTTATCCAAGAAGCCAATTGGCTGTCATCTTCTCACCTGCATTGATACCCTATGAAAAGCCAGAAAATGTAGTAGAACCAGAAGGCAGGACAAGAAACAATGGATGGAGACTAACGAAGGACAGCAACAACCTGGAATTAAGGAGAAACTTCCTAACAGTGAGAACAATTAACCAGTGGAAAGGGTGGTCTCCAGAGATCATGGGTGCTCCATCACTGGAGGTTCTTAAGAAGAGACTGGACAGCCACTTATCTAAAATGGTATAGGTAGGTCAGTGTTGGTTAAACTTTTCGGCAGTGCTGAAACGGGAGTGCGCACGCACCAGAAACCAGAAGAGCAGCTCCTGGTGCGTGCATGCATGCCAGCCACCTGCTGTTCCAGCTTCTAACATGCATGTGCATGGTAAGACCAGCTAGCCAGCCAGTTTCTGGCTTCCCCATTGACTACCCGTACAGTGTCAGGGTTCCGGCAGTTACCCCAATTTAAATCATGAGTCTCGAGCCAAACTTCCAAAACTTCAAAAGAATTTATTGGGGAGTTAACATACCGGCACTGCCTGGGTGTATCATAATTCATATTCTCCAATGGGACACATCCATAGCCAAGAGCCATCAATCATGTTCTCCAGTTAGAATTTTGCGTGGCAGAAACTTCAGTCACCTAGTTACTATCTTTGAAAACACTTGTGGAATGCAGTTTCGGTTTTGCAAGCTGCTCCACTGCTCCCGCCTCCCTTTCTGTTGGCAACTCTAAAAAGACCATAGAAATATTTTATGAGTTGACATACAGACTGCTACAGTTTCAATCTTGGGGAATAAGGTTGTATTTTTGGCAAATATGATCATTTGAGATGCTAGTATCAGGATTCCAAGTAATACACCCATAACAATCAGAACTCTGAGGCAGGTAGATTCCTCAAAGAACAATTTTATTTGATTTATCATATTGGCACAGGCTGGTGAAAACCGACTCTAAAGGATCCCACAGTTTTCACCCAATTAAAAGTAAACGTTTTCCCCTTTTCCCAAACAGTCACATGGTCCAATCAGGGCGCTGTCCAGTTGCTTGGTAACATCACTCCTCCTCCTCTCTTCAGCCACCTGTTGGAATGTCCTTGGTTCCCAGGGGGAAGTCTTTTGATTGGGCTACAAACCCTCAGCTATCTCTAATTCCCTCACCTAACCCTCATGTCTGTTGTGGCAACCCTGAAGCCTTAAAGATGGCTTCAGTCAGGACAACTTCAGAGTTGACAGCTAGCTTTAATTGGAAACAGATCCCTTGAGCTCATAAAAAATGCCACATTTTGCTCATAATAGTCCCAAAGGTGCTTTTTCTTTTTCAAGAGGCAACTGGACTGTCTGGTTTTTCTTTGAAGACAGATAACAGATAATCAGAGTTGGAAAGGACCTTATAGGTCATCCAGTCCAACCCCCTGCCCAAGCAGGAGACCCTACACCATTTCTGACAGATGGGAGTCCAATCTCTTCTTGAAAGTCTCAAGTGATGATGCTTCCACAACTTCCGAAGGCAACTTCTGTTCCATGGATTGATTGTTCTCACTGTCAGAAAGTTTCTCCTTATTTCCAGGTTGAATCTCTCCTTGTTCAGTTTCCATCCATTATTCCTTGTCTGGCCTTTGGATACTTTGGAGAATAGCTTGACCCATTCTTCCTCTCTGTGGCAACCCCTCAAATATTGGAGCACTGCTCTCCTGTCTCCCCTGGTCCTTCTCCTCACTAGACTAGCCATACCCAGTTCCAGCAACATTCATCGTATATTTTAGCCTCCAATCCCCTCATCATCCTGGTTACTCTTCTCTGCACTCTTTCTAGAGTTTCAACATCTTTTTTATAGTGTGGTGACCAAAACTAGATGCGGTACTCTAGGTGTGGTCTTACTAAGACTTTATAGAGTGGTATTAGTACCTCACTTGATCTTGATTGTATCCCTCTGTTAATGCAATTTAGGATTGCTTCTCATCCAAGAAGCTTCTTCAGCTCTTATATTTGCTAATAATACTTTATTCTTATGCTAATATTATGCTAATAATAATATTTTCTTTTCTCATTAGGGCTGTAACAGCACTGTGTATATTCAAGACGCTTTCCAGTTGCTTCTTCCGGTTCTTCAGATCTCACATATCCAAATCCATTGCTTGAAAACACAACAGGGATTTCCTCTAAACTAGCCATCAATTTAATTTCTGATGGGTACCATTAATTAATATCCAAATGCCGTATAAGCCATTCTGGAGTCTTTTGAAGGACACTAAATGCAGGATTTTCATGGAAAGTATCAAACAAACATTTTCGACCCACAGGAACTATTTTAAGTGTGTTCAAATCAGTGAAGTGGAAAGCAACTTCATGTTTCTTGTAGTAATTTAAGGCGTATTCTGGTTTTATTGGTGCAAATTCACCTTGGATATATTGCTAAATATTTTAGATTTTGTTTTGAAAAAAAAAAGTTGCCCTTTTTTTTTGTCCCCCTTATGCTTAAAGACTTTATCGAGTTAAATTGAGACAGTCAGAAAGACAAGACATTGATTTTGCTGTGATCCTAATATTAAATGTAAACATTCAGGGGAGAGCACCAAAAGTATCATAGAGGAATGGATCTTATTTCTAATGTTGCTTTTAACATTAGGCCTTATTCTTGACACTAAGTCCATTTTCCATTTGTGGTCCTTCAATCCTCCCACCTGCAGAAATGTTTACTTGTCTTAGCAATATTATTAATTATTGCAAGATAGTTTTTGCAGGCTTACATCATAAAGTCTTGTGCAGAAAAAGCAGTAAACTATTGAAATGGATGATTACTTCTTAGCTCCTCCCCAATCAATTAGAATCATGTTTTTGCTTATACTGATTCCTTACACTGAAGGGGATCCATATTTGGGTTTGAGCTGGGTGTTTTTTTGCAGACATTTCATGACCCAAGCAGGCAACATCATTAGTGCTAAAAAAAGAAAGGCATTCTCTTAGGTATATAAGTCACCTAACAGTAATTTGTGTTGGAAATATATAAACCAGGATAGACATTTTAATTCTGTATGTTTAAGAAAATGCAAAAATTGTAATTGGGCATGGTTTCTCAAACGGCCATAAGATGGAGTCAGAAACCTGTGTTGTCTTAGTCTTAGTCTCAGAAGAGTGTGTGTCTCAGTGAGTCTTTCTGTTTCCTTCTGTTGAAGAGTTTTGCCATTCCTCCTAATTGACTGCTATTCCTGGATTTGATGTAAGTCTGATACTAAACTGTTTTTGACACTGGACTTTGTTATTGGATTATTCTTGGATTGAAAACTGACTGACTTACCTGTGAATGACTTTGGACTGCTTGTTTTGAACTTTACTTAAACCTTTCTGGAAGTAAAAACCTACACTTACTGTACAATGTATCTGTGTGCTATGTGTGTATTATTCAACACTTTTCTCACTACGTCTCCCTGTATGCACTCATTCTCCTAACGGGGAATTACCACAACACACTCCCTTCTAGCACTGATGATGTTTCCCAGTTGGGTCATGAAATGTCTGCAAGAAAATCACCAAGCTTGGAGAACAACAAGGATCCCCAGTTGTTCTCCTCCTCCTCCTCCTCCTCTCCACTCCCTTCTAACAACTGATGATGTTATCTAGTTGGGAAATGAAACATCTGCAAGAAAATCACCAAGCTCAGAGAGCACCACATTTCAACTTTGAGCTACAAATAATCTGGTTTATGGATGTAATTGGGTTTGCATTTCTCAGTCCACTCCATATTCCAGTACTGTTGCTCTGTTAGGGAATGTCTATGTTTTCGTATGTAGCTTCATGCAAATCTCACAAATCGAGAACATTTTTCTGGCACATAGGATCCAGGGCGCCACAATCTGCTTCCAGTTCAGTGAATTAACTTATAGGTATTGCTGAACTACATCTCAGAACACCAGAATATGGCAGATATGGAACAGAATGTTCTAGCATTTTCCAGCACGTTCCATTTCAAAGTTTTGTGTATCTCCATCTCTTTTAAGCTTACTTGTAGAGACTCTGCAGCAAGTACTGTGATTTTCATTAATTTAACACAGGGGTGTCCATCCTTCGCAACTTTAAGCCCTAACAGATAATCAGACTTGGAAGGGACCTTATAGGTCATCTAGTCCAACCCCCATCCAAGCGAGAGACCCTATACCATTTCTGACAAATGGCAGTCCAATCTCTTCTTGAAGGTCTCAAGTGATGGACTTCAACTCCCAGAATTCCCAAGCTAGCCCGTTGAAGTCTTAAAGTTGCCAAGGTTGGACAGCCCTGATCTAACAGAATATCGAGTTGTTGTTTCTTAAAATACGTTGCATCAAAGCATTGCGAGTTAAGATTTTATACCGCATAATATACTAGCTGCTCCTGCAGAGAACATTTGTGAAAATGGATAATTGTCATAATTAAGGTGATCTTTTAACTAAACGTTGCCTAGGAATATGTTGTGTGCCTTAGAGAAATATTTAAAAAGAATCGTTTATAACAGTGGATGATGGCTTAATTTGAAGCAGCCTTTAGGGAAGGGTTCAATGCACGGAGCACGGTTTATCACTTGGGGGCGGGGTCAAAAACAAGGAAGAAGCTACTAAATGAGACAAGGAGAAGAATATCCCATGGAAGTTTTATCTACATAGATAGAACTTCCCTGGATAGTATGATGTCCCAGTGCTTATTTTCATTTAAAAGGACGTAACATCAATGTCCTTTCGTGTTTCGTTAAATTGTGTTTATTTGCAATACACAGACTAAGCATAGATGACTCAGCTTACAGCAAGCCTGCCCCTGTTCATTAAGGATAAATGTAATTAAACTTTTAAGGCTCTGGATGAGGAATTAGAGCACCAGGAAGAGACAATGGCCCAAGAGGCAGATTTCTACAGCATTATCCTTCATTGGGATGACGCCTGTCTCTTCGCAGTGCCTGCTATCTAGACACTAACCTGTCTTCTTGGCGCTTTCCAATGAAAAATGAATTTTCTCCCCTGACTGCTTTTATGACATTTCTTTTGGGCCATTGCAGCTTCCAGATGCCACAGAGGACAACGTTATTTCAAACCTGCAGAGCTATGAGTTCTGCATGTGGGAATGCTTTTCCAGACAAAAAGCTGGCTATAGGAGCAGGACAATTCCCCTTGGTGATTTTCTATAGGCAAGGGACTCAAAGATCAGATTTATTTCTCAAAAAAATAATAATTTTGAAATCCAGTAGAAAGCAGATGTTCTCACCAAGGCTTCGTAAAATCATGAAGCATACTCCTCATCCCGATAAAACCCCTTTTATGTAGGTTAAAATGAATTCCTCTCCAGCAAAGTCCTGGCAAACAGCCTTTCAAGAGATTTCACATCACAGACCTTTATCAGGCTTGGAGAGTTGCCAGGCCGATATCTTCCAAACTCCATGCTGTAGCAGCAATTACTTGGCGAGATATCAAGAACAGATCTTCACCCTAATGAATTGAACTAATTGTCTCCTGCAGATGCCACTCCCCTTTCGCTCCTCTTCATTCCCTATGAGAGGGGCCATTCACCATCCACCTATGGCTTTACTCCCGAGTCAACCCTTGTTCCTTAACTGTTCCCCTCTTCTGGCAGCTCTGTGCATGAACACATCAGGAACAGGCTCCAGCTGTTCTTCTGCCCCACTGATCTTCAAAGGCAGCTGATAACTGTTGGATGGCCCTGGCCCCATCTCTGCTTCTGAAGCACAGCACTCATCGGAGCCTTCCCCAGACTCCAGGACTGTCCCATGTCCGCCCCGCCGCAACCTCCTCACTGTCTGAATCTGCTGCCAGCTCCGCAGCAGATTTGCACCTCAAAAAGAAAAGGCCATTTGTACTCACCCTAAGAGCTCAGAATGTTAAAAAGATGAATTGCCTGTTTTAACAACACCTCTTATCGTCATCATTTTAGCCGGTGTCTATCGACTGCAGGATGAAGGCCCCTTCTGTATGTTTCCAACCAATATGGCCTTGAGCTTTTCTTTGCTCGTTGAGCCAGCAATACAGATTTGTCCTCAATCTTGCGATCACAACTGAGCCCCCAAATTTATATTGTTAAGCGAAGCATGTGTTAAGTGAGTTTGGCCACTTTTCTTTGCCACATTTTTAAAGTGGTAAAACCATGGCGGTTGCTAAATTATGAGTGAATCTGGTTTCCCTGTTGATTTTGCTGGTCAGGTGGTTGCAAAAATGTGATCACATGGCCCTGCCAGGGACCCTGCCACCGCCGTAAATGTGAATCAGTGGTCAAGACATCTGAATGTAGATCATGTGGCCATTGGATGCTGCAACTGTGAAAGGTGAAAGTGTGAAAAATGGTCATAAGTCACTTTTTTCAGTGCCGTTGCAACTAAGTGAAAACTGTTGTAAGTCAAGGACTTGCTTTAAGTCTCTTTGGTGGACGTTTTGGATCGAGTGGGATCCATTCTCGGATTGCTTTGGTCCACCTGCCATCCATTCTTCTTCCTCTGCGACCAGCCCATTTGCACTGCAATTCTTTTAATCACTTGATGCTATCGTATCCTTTCATTTCTATCTTATTCTTTCTATCTTCTCTGTTTCTATTCCTTTTATTAAAAAACACTAGTTTGATACCCATGCTTTGCTACAAAACTATGTGGTCGGGCTTAGTTTTGGGGGAGGAAAATAAAGGGGGAAAATTGTGCCTCTGCCTACCAGCATCCATCGGTATTCATCTGGCTAGCATCCTGTCAGTGTGTGAGAGTGTTGAGGGCTGTTTTGAAACTGAAACAGTATTTGCTGTGTGAGCAAGAAGGAGCCAGCAAGGAGCCTGGGCGTGGCTTAGCTCAACTGTTCTGTACTAAAGCTGCTTGGTGCTGTGAAACGAAGACTGAAACTCCTCTCCTCTGCTTGTGTTTTGGAATTGGAAGAGATTTCTTTTCAGGTGGGAAAGGGGAGTAAAACTCCCTAGCATCAGAGCGTGTTAATAATAATAATATAGGAAATACTAATGCTCTGATGGTCATTCCGAAAAACTCTTTCTTAGTGAGCACCTGGAAGCAAAATTGCATTTTGAAAAACCATCTTTACTATCTTATCCTTATTCTCCCCAGCAGAAACAACACTTTGTAAATAGTATTTACATAATGTAAAATTGATTGGGGCTATCATTCTTCAAAACAAAGAACTTTACGTTGTATATGCTAAGGCTCAGGAGAAATTATGGAAAATATTTAACCAGATACTAGCGAAACAAAAGGATCAATAAATTCTTTCTCCTTGCATAAATTAACATATCTATCTTCCAACTCTTTATCCTCCCTCCCAAATTAGAGGCGAGAGAGCTTTGGGAATAGAACAGGGGTCTTCAAACTTAACAGCTTTTAAGACTTATGGACTTCAACTCCCAGAATTCCTCCTCCAGTCATGTTAGCTCAGGAATTCTGGGAGTTGAAGTCTTAAACTGGCCAAGTTTGAAGACCCTTGTAATAGAGAGTAGAGTAGAATAGAGAATAGAATAGAAAAAACAGAATAGAATAAAATAGAATAGAATAGAGAATACATAGATTAGAAAAAATAATAATAGAGTAGAGAATAGAATAGAGTAGAATAGACTAGAAAAAATAATTAGAATAGAGAATAGAAGAATAGAATAGAATCAGAACACAGAGTAGAGTAGAATAGAGAATAGAATAGAAAAATTAATTAGTATAGAGACTACATAGACTAGAAAAAACAATTAGAATAGAAAATAGAAGAATAGAATAGAATCAGAATACGGAGTAGAATAGAATAGA